GTCGCTTTTTACGACCTTAACTGATTTCTCTTAGACATGCAAATCAGTAATACCCCTGTCGTTCAAAGCGCTCGGACTCCCGGGCAATCCGCAAGACCATTACTGTTCACCCTCTTTAACGTTAGAGTTAAACGTCTAGAGTTACCGCGACGTCGATCTGGCTGGGAGGGCATTACGCGCGCCTCTGGATTGCTTCCTTCCTGCAGCTTGACCACTGTCCCCCCCGAGAGGTCACGTTTTTTCAGGGCGGTGTCTGAATTCCCCCAGGTAGCCCGGTTGCCCAGGCACCCAACGTTTGTAGGCGCCCCAACGTATCGAGGCACCCAACTGCTGTTGGCGCCTATCCTTAAGGATGGGCGCCCGTCTACTATCCCTCAGTCAAGCTTGCCATCATGAAAACCCCCAGAACCGTTGAAAGTTTCACCGGTCGAAGACACTTAAGTCCCCTGGACGGCTTGCTTTCTGCACCTTGATTACTGTCCCTTGAGAGGGTACGTTCTTGCAGGAGGTAGCCCGGTTGCCCGGGCACCCAACTGCGCGCCTATCCTTGAGGATAGTCGCTCGCCTTCTACCACCTGTCCATTTCGTTATTATCATCCCCCGGAGTGAGAGCCTACCCATCAACCAACGCACTCTTGGCAAGCTGAGATTCGGGTGTCTCAACTGGCCGTCGGCTTCGGTCGATAATTGGGTGCCCTCTTATGTAGTGTAGGAACAGCGTTCGGCTCGAGATTCGCGTTGCGGGGTTTAGGTGGCGGAAAACAGCTCGGAGGTGCGGTTTCTTGTATAGGAAACCGTGTAGACATGCGCAGCCCCATACAAACCATAAAGCGATTCCGCAAAGTATAGAGTCTAGTAGTTCGCGCCAGGTATACTGGTTTCCAGCATGGACTGGCTCATACAAGCTGTATACCGATCGATATCGCAAAGTTTTGAGTCTAGTAGTTTGCGCAAGGTCTAGTAGTTTGCGCAAGGTCTAGTAGTTTACAACGTTATATGTTGATATCTCTATAAGTAGAGCAGCTATTTACAAACTAAATACAGATTTGAAATTGTGGCGTAATTCTATATTAAATTGTGTGGCTAGAGCGCTGCAATAGTGGCTGTGCAGCGTGCAGTCACGTGAGGAACATCAAAACTCCACCTCTACACTTGAGCGCAGATATCTCAACAAGGAGAGCAGCTATCGACAAACCGAATGGAGATTTAAAATCCTGGCGTAAATCTGCACAAAATGGCTTCTTTCGATTTTCTCTAGCTAGCTCTCTAGTGTAGCTAGCTAACCGCGATCCTACTACCGCGATCCTACGCCTCGCTTCTTATCGCATTCTTATCGCTACTAACAAAACAGCGCGATTGTAGTGCAATCGCGCACATCCTCTAGGGTAGGATAGCGAGCGTTTTCCAGAAGTTCTTATACCTCACTGGCCTCCGCAGGTAGATCTGACGTGCCAGGTTGCTTCGCTACCTCTCGCAAGATATCGTAAAGGCATCATGGAGCTGTGCCCAATGTCTCATCTCGCAATCATACTGTGAAATCATACCGAACTGTGCCATCACCGCAGAGCCAGTTGATACCAGTCGGCGTTCACCATGAGCGATGTCTGCCATGGGTTTGAAACAAGTTCAGATCGTGTAGAAGACGTTTTCGTCGTGCTGACGCCTCGCCTCAACCGTGATTGAGGCGTGGAAACATGGGTAACAAACATCGCGATCAAGAAAACAATTACCGAAAAAGACAGAGGATCGAGGCGTAGGCCTCAAGGATGTTCTTGAAACACGATTTTGAGGCTTAGGAAAGAAAAACAACTAACTCATTGGATGCGCTCGCCATGCTCTGACAGAGCCGTGGGTTGTCGGGGTTGGTGGTAAGAATTACGTCCGGGAAATCCGTTCGGAGATGTCGGTCTGCGGCGTGTTAGGTCGTAGAATAGATCTTTAACCCTGAGTTCAGGCGATGAAGTTGGAGATGGTCAAGAAGCGGGGCAGGGGCAAGTGACGTACAGCTTGCTGTGCCGCAATTGGTCAGCGCAACCTGATAATAGTCTATGCGGTTCGCGGCCTGGGATATTGTTGGATCGCAGACTTCGCATGCTGTGAAACGTGAGAAGAACAGGTGTGGCCAATTATCTTGGATCGAAGGAAAGTGCTCACCTCCTCCGATCCTATACCCACAACACGCTTACGCTGTCCCACCAACCACTCTTGGTACAACTCCGACAATCGAGTAATTTCGTGAAACAATGTAGTTGAGCGAGCCCTTGACTTCATGCCCGGACACTGAGGTACAGCGAGGCAGACATGGTGCGTCAAACACCACGATCGGCACACGACTGGGTATTGCAACTCAAGCGACCATTTCAGAGAACATACCGAAGGATCCATGCATGCTACAGGCCCAGTTCTCCATCGACGCCACCGACGTCAGACCCCACATGTGCGTGGAGAAGCGAAGATTGCAGAGCGCGATGGTGAACAGACGACCGACAAGACTGGAACCTCAGACGAACAACATGTTGGTAGCAAGTCATGCTGGGTCTGTCGCACAAGACTAAGTGAAGAGGCATTCGTGTGTGGAGTGATTGATCATCGGAGAGATGGGTGGCCGAAGTACAAGCAGCCAGCTGATGAGGTTGAAGATGTCGCACGGCTTGACTAGAGCAAGACCTTTGCTCTGGCGATGGTGGTTTAGCCGCGCTGTGAGGCCCTTGAGGATGTAGAAGGACGACAGTCCGCGTACGCCGCCGCCGTTGAGCGACAGCAGGCAGAGGCCGGTTGTGTCAAGTAGGGTCGGGTTTGCCGCCGTGCTGGGTCGCGAGGCGCGTCGCCATCGAGATGCCTGGTGATGGACTGCGCCGTCAACGTTGGAGGGACAGGTCGCTTGCATGGCGGGCGAGCGTTCTCCCTGGGGGCTGAACGACAAGCTGAGGCGATGGCGGGTGGGGCGCTGCAGACCGTGCCCCTCCAGCGGCCTCGCGTGCCGCTATCCCAATCGTCCACACCCTGTTGGTGAGGCACATTGAATAAAGAGAAACATCCTTGGATAGGCATTGTAGATGCCTGATGTGCTGCGACTAGAACCTCTGCACTCGGAATACTTCCAATCTTAGCACACGGTGATCCTTTCTTCGTCCTTGACTTTCCTACAGCACTTCGTGTCTTCATGCCCACGAGGACAATCTTCACAAAGCATATTCACTTTGCTCGAGCTCCAATCGACACTGCGTTTTCCGCTCCACCGATATATTCTGGTTTCCGAACCTCGAATCCTATCATCTAAGTGCGCCATGCCACACCCGCCTAGAGCAGTGCAGGTCAGAAAGACACGAACTGATAAAGTTGTTGTGGCGCAGCATCCTAGGTTTTGTAACCTTCCGAATGGATGCGAACGAGGTTATGTGGCAGGAAAGAGCTCTAAACCTCAAAATGCAGGCGGCCTAGGCCAGCGCTAACTAGCTGACCGTGTGTGTAACCCAGTGGTGATTCATTTCACTGAATTCGTGTCCCATGAGCTGTATTCCGGGCCACTACAATGACCTCAGACCCAGGCCTGTCATGTGGCATGCATCACAGGAGTGGTGCCGAGCCTTCCACCTGTGCATGCATCTGGCCCCCAACTCTCGGCCTGCAGCTGGTGTATCGACAAGGCTACCCACTATCTCGAGGGGTCTGCTATGCCTCTCCCTTTCAGCCTGCCTATTCGCCTTATCATTCCCTCCCCAACTCCTTCATAATTTCTCGATCTCATGGCAAACCCATCACATGCGGATTTCTCCGATAGAATCTTCTGGTGTCCTGAGGGCGGTGACTTCCTGGTGTGCAAAACAGGAACGAGGTTCGTGGGATGTTGCAATGGACTCAACGCCTGCGAGAATGGCTGTTTCGACGAGAATCTATTTCCTGCGGCCATTCGCGGGGAGTTTGTCGACGAGATCCCTAGCCTTTCTTGCGGAGGATCAGTACCATTTTGGAGTGGTGGGAGGAATGAGAGCAGTTTCTATGGCTGTTGCGACAGCGACCCCTTCCGGAATGTACCGCCGGTTTGCCCTCGAAAAGACTTGCAAGCAGCCTTTTAGGACCGTCCGGATCAGTTCTACTTCTTTCCGAAAGATGTTCAGAATGCCACTCCCGTCGTGACTTCGCCGATCGTCCTTGCGACATCTCCGCTCACCTACACGAAGCTTACTATTGATGTCCCAGTAGTTGCATGTTCTACTGCCGCGGCTTCTACGACAATCACAATGGCGTTCACAGGTACGACATGCATTGCATTAGCCATGTGGCTCTGCTGGAGACATCTGTTGGATCGCTACGGCAGGTATGAGGTATATACTGAGAGGTAATATGAGGCAGAACCACTCGAATGCTGGAGCTGACTAGTAACAGCGAGCCCCTCCCATCCAAACTAGATGAGGCTGGAGACCGAAGTGACCGGGCAACATGTCATGCCATCCGCAACGGCAGTGTATCGAGTGACCTGCGAAGGCTATCTACTAAAGTTTCATACATCCTGCCAGCACCACTGTCGTAATAAGTGGTCTTTGCGGACTTCTTGCGTATTTCTGTTTTGAATCAGACAGTTCGAATGTATGGAAACGGATCATGGTCAATTGCTGAATTACGCGCTCAGTCGCTATCATAGCACTAGTGCTTGGAACGGCAGTGGACTTACAAGCTGCTACAGGCTCCGCTATCATTGCCTCACTACTCCTAGAGTCCAAGACCGGCGTTGATCTTCGGCATCTTGCCGCGATATCTTCGATTCGCGCGGGTACTACCAGTCTGTGGACTATGTGTCGATGTGTCTTCCAGGATCTCTTGTGGTCTTCAACAGCTCATCACCATTCTAACTATCGTTAGTGCCTCTTAGCAGGACTCCTCATCATCACGACAAGCACAATCCAGTTCTCTTCCACCATATTGCTGTCTGACATTAGGGAAGGGCCTATGGTCGGATATGAATATGCTTCTGAAGTTCGACCCGGGTTGTCGCACTCTGAACTGAGATTTGCGGAGAAGATTCCACGTGACTCTGCGTGGACAAGCAACCCACCTTTCTATCCTGTCTTTGCAGAATTTGACGGACCAGGCAAAGATGTGATGATGGGCACCGGAACTCTACTCCGAGCTCTACTCCCATCCGCGACCGCTGAGGCTAGGCAAAGCATATCATCGTACTCCGGTAATACTCTCATAGTCGACGTCAAAGTGACTTGTCATACGCCTTCCGCCACTGATCTATACACTGATTCGACCTATGGTCATATCAACGGCACTGTAACTCCCTCCGATGACTCTATTCAACATCAAGTATCCTGTTTACGTGGTGGCACGACGATTTATCAGCTGAACCAAGGTGTTAACATGCCTAGTGGTCTGCTGAAAAGTCAATTCGAGACTTCAACTGCGCCCGGCGCTGTCCTTCTGGTCACCATAGAAGATTTTGGGGGAAGAGATACTGGGGACTGGTTGCACCTCCCGACGAAGAATCTTTCCTTGTCCATCTGCTATGCGCCATGGGACGCTGCCATCCTGAGCGTCAACTTAATCGGCGATGCAAATCGGACCGAGCCCATGCTCGAGTACGGCAGATCGATGGAAAGGTACAAAACATCAGCAGTAGTGCAACATTTCCTACCAACTGGAAACAGCACAATACGTCAAATGATGACCATGGAGAAGCCGCATAGTTTGCTTGGTAATTTGCCACCAAGGTACCGACGGTCTGTTGTTCAAAGCCATACGGGAGGCCAATTTGCACTTGCAAAAGGGGGCAGCGGGCCGCTTCCTGGCGGATGGATGGCGTTCATGTCCGGAGACCCCCTTGTTACCATGCTGCGCCGGCTCCCAGGCAATTATGCGAACATATCGCATGTGATGGCCGCTGATCCAACGTTAGCGGCCATTTTTAACAACACCCTAGAGACGAGTTCTATAAGCTGGGCCATGTCTAGCCTTATTACTATCTTGTCCATGTTGAACTATCACAGCCAACAGCCTGCCTTTGACTGGGTCGACAATATCACGGTATCATTCTTTGAGAACGTTCTGTTTCTTGGAGACTATGTGGGATTGACAATCGTCTTGTGGGTGTTGGCAGCTCATTTCGTCGTCATGGCAACTCTGATCGTCATGTTCGTTCGAGACACGCGCTCGACCCTTTTTGGCAAAGCATGGTCTGCGCTGGCTCAGGTTCTTGAGTCACAAGAGGTTGAGGAGCATATAGTAGGCGCAAGTGAGAAGACCGATTCAGAGATCTCAAAAGAACTCCAAAAATCGCAACAAGGAGGGCTAAGAGCAAGAGTAGAGCACAGGGGAGGTAGTTTTGAAGTTGTAAGATAATGGATAGCACCTGTCGTTTCAAATTCTCGCAGTGCAGAATGTGGAGTCGTCTTACTCTGTATTATACATTAAAGTTACTCTGTATCATAAATATTCTAATCTAGATCAAACAAGTGCTTAGAACGGAAGACGCTGTTCTAGACTATAACAAACAAACGAGATATATAGCGTGCCACAGGTGATGCACCTGTGCTGCGTTCCTGCACTGAGACATCCTTTTCGACATTCTCCTTCTCTATTCTGTAGGTTTAGTTACTTTTTAGTCTTTCTTAGACATCAACTCACTAATGCCGTCTTCGCCCCAAACTCTCGCTATTTTCGGCCTAGGTTTTAGACTGGTTCTGATGGATCTTGTGCGCGATCGTGTTCAAGATCATCTTGCAAGAAGAATTAAACGCCTCGGCGCTCCTGTTGCATTGCGAGGTAGGGTCACAACCTTCATTTGATTATCGAGTGCGACTGCTAGAGCCTGTGTCGAGACCTTGGTCAAGGTTGCTTACAGAAGACCAGCCGGTCGTGATGACGACATATTGGCGTTCGTGAGGGATGAAATGACTACTACGGGTAGCGTAACGTCTTGGCCGCAGTCGTTAGTCCACTGCGGTACATAGCTGGGAACCTTGTCGTGCGTTCTTAACTTCCCCTGCTTCTGAGCGCCCCGTTCATCAAGTCGTCTGAAAGCGGCTCGCTTGCCATTACTATCCGCGCATGCAGGGGCTCCTCTATAGCTCCTTGCTCTTGCCTTCATGTTTGCTTTCGGTCGAGTTCGTGTCTTGATGTTGGGTCCTCGTCCGCCGATCAAGGAACTTGACGACAGTTCTGCGAGCGCGCTGATGGGCATGTGTACGCTTATCTCGGGGGCTTGTACAGTGCTCTTCTTCTGTCGGCCAAGCCCACCAAAGTCAAGCTCAGAGCTTTTGCTCCTCAGGCCATGATGGGACGGCTTAGAGTCTAACAGGATGTGGCGACATGCTAGGTGTAATTCTCGTTCGGTAAGTCCGTCGAGAATACGGCGGTTGATCCAAGGCGACTGATCGTATGTGCTGTCTTTAGAGGTATGCTTATCGTGTAATGATAAGGGCCGTGAGGGGATTGGTTCTGGCGTGGAGATATTGAGGGAGACCAACTTGGAGGCAATCTTCTATACGGCCGCGACCTACAAGTAAGAACATGACTATAGACAATGACTAGTGACGATACATACGATGAGCGTCCGCTTACATTGGAATTCTCGCCGCTTCATGGTTGTTGAGTAGGTATAGGGACTGGAAGTGTCGGCTTGGATACAACATGGCTTCAGAGCGCTGTAAAAGTACTACAATTGTAGCGACCACGTAAGGGATGCGCGTGCGGGAAGTCGGTACAGTATGGCCGGCTAAGGATGACTAGCATTAAACAGGATGCGAACCGACTACGATCCGTGGAGAATTCCGATCTAAGATCGTGAGGCAAACGATCATCTGAACGGGCGCTTAGCGTCTCTACAACCGGCCGGTCCAGTTTGTGGTACGCGCTTCGCGGAGACGCTGAACAACCACGATCAGCGATATTTTCATTTTTAGTAATCCCTGTACATCGACGGAAGTAGCATTTATTCTCCTATTCCCAACAGAACGAGCCGGACGCCTATCGGAAACAAATGACGCTGCGGCTCCACAAATACCGTGTTCGTGCAAGCAATGCACACCGTCAGTTAATAGACGCGCATCACCAAAACAGGCTACATAAAATTAAGGCTGTAAAGCAACACACACAGGTCGTTGTTATAAGACAACTCAACAGGGTACTCTACGAATTTTTTCGACCAACTTTTTTACTGATACATCTTTAGTCAGAGGAGTTTGCGGTCGCGAGTGTTAGTGTAGCGGTGTTAGGGTACGCGCTGTGCGCGAGGCACCATCGCCTTCACTCCTATAACTAGCTTTCTGCTTTTTCCTCAGTGCTGCTTAGTGTAAAGCCCTGCACTTGCCTGAAGACGGCCTTTGAATAGCTTATTAATAGTCGCGAGCCAGCCTTTGACGTTCTTCCTCTGCTTTGCGCTCGGCAACTTCCTTGACCTGCTCAGCCTGTAGCCGGTCGCGTTCTCTCCTCTCTTTTGCACGTGCATCACGCTTCTCTTGCGCAGTCTTTTGGTTGTACAGCTCGTCAACTTCAGCAAGCTCGCTCATTTCAACCCTCTTATCGTCTTCCCCTCTTGGAGGTAAGGGTCTCAAGCAGGCCGTCATGCTTGACTTATAATAAAAGAGCGTGATGTATTGACATGGAGTGAAGCGGTTGCCATATGCTAGGCGAGCCTCTTTCTGACGCATCACCAGACACATGTTGCATGCCTTTATACTACGTGTACGTATATTGTGCGCTGTCAGACGTACTACAACGCTTGTCAGACAAAATAGGACGATCACTAAATAAGCCCTGGGTGTCATTCCCCTCAGGCTACTGCTGCGGCTTAGCCCATCGATCCGTTCCCGTGGTAGCGATAGGGGTGGTTGTATCTACGTTTGTCATTCGGACGTTCCTGGCGTTACGAGATAGCGGACATCACGCGATAGCTTTACGGTAATGCTCCTCGATTCCTGATGATCTTAGTGTTTATTGCTATTGACTGCAGAAACCATAGAGCCATAGCTTGCAGTCCATATCCTTACGCTGCATGCACTCCCGGTAGCCTTCTGACACAACGAATTGTAGTATGACAGTGCGCGTGTAGTGTAGGTCGCTAATAACAAGAACAGTGCAGTACAGTGACGTGTATGTGTTGAATTGAAGCACCGTTGGATGTTACTCAACTATGATACGTGACTTCTCACCTGACGTTAGACGTGTTGAGCTTATCAACCGAATGCCAGATATATCGATTCAAATTCTCGCAGTGCCAAATTCTCGGCATCCGACGAGTTTGGTCGCGGAATGAATCAATTGTCCGTTCCCACCCGTTTTAAGCTTCCCGACCAAATCCTGAATGACTCCAGACTTCTTCTGCGCCTCAACACCAGACCATCCCACGAGGATGCTAAACACAGTGCCCGTTCCCTCGCCCTTCTCGCGGCCCTCCAACATCGGCCAATCCTTCTCGACACTCCAGCCCGATCGCACCGCTCGCATGTCAGTGTTGGAATCGAGATCCCCTCCGATCCCGGTCGTGAACGTCTTGCTGATACCTTCTTTCTCCGCAGCGGTTATGTCGGGTGAGAAGTACAACAACGTGACCTGCACCACAGGCGTGTTCAGCACGTCCCTGGCCTCGCCATCGAGCTCCACATGGCAGCCGAAGATCGGGTGAGACAAGATTTTGGGTAGGTCTTTGACCGCTTCGGCTCCACCTCTACACGTACCCAACTATCGTCAGCTTCTGGCTCTCCAATAGCAAAGTCCTCAAACGCGTTTAACTTACGTCTTGGCAAAGTCCATATGATGCTTCACATCGTCGAAGCAGAAGAAGCACCAGAGTCGCAAAGTGTCGTCAGGCTCGATGCCTCCATATGCCCAGTACGGGCCGCCCGGTGCAGTGGTCACGGTACTCCATGCTAAGTCAAGGACTTGGCCTTCGTGGGTCTTGGGGTTCAAGACGTCGTGGCCGGGCTTGACGCCCATGAGGCCGATCTCAACTACGGTCATATTGAGATAGAGATCTTTGTGTATCGTAGATAAGTGGTTGAAATGTTGTATGTATCAATCCTCAAGTCGGATGTGAAGATCTTTTGTACCCAAAAGATAGCTAGGCAACAACCTTTACAGTGTGGGGGACATTGCGTGTCAAGTGTGGAGAATCACGAAAACAATTAATATGTTACCTAGCGGTACTACTTCGGGCCATTGTGCTCGCATCGCCCCTAACCCTTGGATACGCAATTTCTGACGACAGAAGTTTAGTACGCTGTGCGCATACAATCATACGGCCATCTGTCGTCGGCTTTCGGCTTCGGCTTTCGTCTCCAGATTTCGTTTTCAGGTCCTTCCTTGTCCTTACCTGCGACTTGCTCGTTTCTCACAACCATACGATTTGGCTTGCCGTCGAACGGTATGGCGGCCTTCGTCCGCTAACTTCCTTCGCTTTACCATCTGCATTCTCTTCCCGCATGCCTCTATCTCCCAGGCTTCAACCACCTCCAATTCATGGGTCCGCCAAACTTGACGGATGATCGGCAACCACTGGTTAGCATCCTTGGCCATCATCATGCCTGTCTGGCGTGCATGGAAGGGCTTCGGGTGCACGGACATGGGTTCCAGATTCAAAAATGTCGATCATCGTTGAGGATAATCGCAATTGTGCCTTGGCGAACGTAGTTGCCATTTTGAGCCATGAGAGTACAAACCCCGGATCGGCATTAAGCTCCAATCAGACTGGCGGTCTTGCATGTCAGACGCGATACCTCGTGACGCTGTTTCCTGTTCCTCAAGGATGATCGTGCGGGATTGTGTTCAAGCTTCCACCTCTATTATGACTTTTGAGTGATACATGGTCGAGCGCATACCGAGTGCGCCCATTAATCGAACATACCTCTGTACACAGTGAGGAGTCAAATGTTTGAAAGTAAGTATGGTGTATGTAGATTAGCCAGCGTTGAGTGCTCGCGGCATGCTGGTGGCAGCGCCAAGCACAGTCGTGCCCCACACGCACAGCGGTTGACAGCAGCAGGCGCCAGCAACTGTGCTTCCTCTCGTCGCAACCTGTATCGCCAACAAGAGAACTCTTCCCGTGTGGCGACGTCCTCGCTGGTAGAAGATGAGAACTAAATTCAGAAAAGCTCTTTGCCGTTCGTATTTTCGAGCGCGCCGCACACCCGCCAGCCGAAACCCGTCGTAGGATCGCGCCTGGGTAAACCCGAAACCCGAAGCCTCACCTTGCGACGCGTCGTTCATACGTCATGGCGCGGAAAACCATCGCATGCGCTTCTTGCCGGTAGGTGGGAGGAATACTCCCGAGGAGAGTTGTTCTAACGCTGTACAGCCGGCAGAAGATCAAATGTATCCACGAGGGTCTTCCACCCTGTCGTAGTTGTTCCAAAAAAGGCCGCATCGAACCGGGCCAGTGCGTTCTGACGAGCCCAATCCTTTCGCAGCCTTCACGTTGCCCGTAAGCAATCTACAAAGTAACACTTCACACTAGTGTTTTAATGCTGAAATTCGCAGACCGCCCAGCACTTCTCAGCGAACGAATCTTCCATCCGTATCCGGTGATAGCCATGCCGCTGTTGGGACCGGAACAACTCCTGTCAGACAGCGCGCAAATGCCCAGCGTCATGCATCAGATTCGAACGATGTTCTATTTCAACGAGATGGCACGGAACTGATACGCGCATGCCTGGTCTTCAAACGAAAGTTTCCAGAGCTACGATTCCTCCATTTACCCACCATCTCAAAGTCGCTTCGTAACCTTCAGAGCTTGAAAAGCTTAGAATCACCGGCATTGCAAACTTTCTTTTTATCCATTATGGCTGTTCATGCTGTTTTAGGGAAAGATAAGGCGAGACTATCTACAGCAGATCAATTTGCCACAGCAGTACGAGACCGGGTGACGGTCTTGACGCCACCGAGCTTGGTAACGGTTCAAACGCTGTTGGTACTCTCCATGTACGAGTGGGGAGTCGGGAACCGACAGCAAGCCTGGCTGAGCAGCGGCATGGCTATCAGGATGATGCAGTCTCTACAGTCCATGACCGCTTGTACAGAACACCAACCCGAAGATCTGAATGTGCACAATCGTACCTTGTGGAGCTGCTTTATCATGGATCGCTTAATCTTCTCAGGGATGCCTCAGCCATATGCGCTTTCATGCAATTCCCTGCGAACCTCTTGGCCTTCGTCAGAAGAAGACTTCGTGTTTGGCCTGCCCCCAGTGTCGTCACGTCATGCCACAGCTGGGCGAAGTCTCCTCGATGACATGCCTGGAAACATGGCGAACTCCTACAACGTTCTCGTTAGGGGCTTCGATATATGGGCGCGCATCCTACAGTGGGTCATTAGTGGAGGAAGGTTCTTGCCTGATATGAGTCTTCCTGCAAATTGTCCCTGGAATCCGACGTCACCCTGGGCGTTACTATATCAAGAACTACAGGCATGGAGAAGCCTTTTGGAAGAACGGATGCTTTTCCCCAAAGTCTCCGTGGAGAGCCATGCTGCACTCGAACAGGCCGAGCCTTTCGCCTACGTCAACCTAGTCTACTACATCAGGTGCGTAAACACATACATTCTTGCAAGAAAATTCATCTGAGACTTCGAGGTGACAGTCTGATCTTCCTAAACCGCGAGTACCTCCCGTTTCTGCCAACTACGTGCGATCGACCCTCTGGACCAATCGATCCTCCACTGCTTCCTCCAGATGCACCTGTGGGATGGTGGGATGCGAGAGCAACTGAGCTTTTCGCGTCTGCAGGCTCTATAACTACCATCATGGAGGACCTAGATAATGCAGGTGCTTCGCTGCACACGCCCTTCCCAAGCTTCTGTGTTTTCTCAGCAGTAACGATGAATATGTACAGATCAGCTTTCCCCTGGATGAGCCCCGATAAACTTCAAGACGGTCGATCACTTGTAGAGAAGAATCTCGTTTGGCTTGATACGTTCCGCAAGATATGGCCTGTTGGAGAACGCTGGTGGCTGACGAGCCAGCGTACCAAGCAACTGTACGATCATGCTAGTGCGGACTTGGAGAGGTACCAAGGAAGAGCAAGGACAGATTTCGACGCCCTAGAGGCTTCCATGCATGACTGTCGGCGTCGAAGGCCGTCAGTTGATGAGTATCGTGATCTAAATCCTGACGCGAGTCTCATACGGGACAGCACTTCCACACGTCTAGAAGAGCAAGGGCTGTGCGAGACGAATTGCAATGGGGACATGCCGGAGATGACATGGCAATCAGATATGGGATGGAGTCAATTATGGCCGCTATGGGATCAAGAAGATAGTGGATATCTTGTCTACAGTGGGCTTTCGCCAAACACAGAATGTTTGTAAATCATTGGAGCAGAACGTATCGATCAGCATCCAACGAGCTGTTTCACAGTATCGTCGTATGCTTTCTTCAGAGTCGAGACGATGGTATCCAGCTCCGCATCTGTTACAGTATATGGAGGCGCAATTAGTATGTGATCTCCTTCCAAGCCGTCCACCGTACCGACACCAGGGTATAATGCTACACCCAAATCGAATGCAGCGAGCTGCAGGGTAGATCCAAAAGCCATTTGCGGAGGGAAAGGCCTTTTTGTTGTGGCATTTTCCATGAACTCTAGGCACCAGAATAGCCCACGTCCTCTTATGTCCCCAATATATTTGCACTCTTTGAACGTGTCTTGAAGACGTCGGCCCAGCTTTTGTCCTTGAATGGCGCATCTATCTGCGAGGTGGTCGCGCTTGATGATCTGCTGGACTGCCAAAGCAGTAGCGCAAGAAGTAGGATGCGCCTGATAAGTTTGTCCATGGTTGAATGCCGATGATCCTTCCTTAAGAGCATCTACAATCTTCCGATTTATAAGCATGCCTGCGATAGGAGCATACCCGCCTCCGAGCCCTTTGCCAATAGTGACAATGTCCGGCTGGATTCTTTCTTGCTCAAAAGCGAAATAGGTGCCTGTGCGACCCGTTCCGCACATGACCTCATCTAGATGCAAGAGTATGCCGTACTTGTCGCAAAGTGTACGAACTGAAGGCCAGTAGCCCTTCGGTGATGCCATGGCACCTAGAGTCGCGCCACTTACCGTCTCGCCACTGGTGATGACTTGTTAGCTTATTTTAAAGCCGCACGACTGGTGTCCAGGAACTCTTACATGAAAGATATGATATTTTCAGGTCCAAGTCGCAGAAATTCTTGCTCGATGTCCTCAACAAGTCGCGTAACGTATTCTTCTTCCGTTTCTGCATCTTTGGCACCATGATAGTGGTCGGCCGGGCCAACGAAAGAGACGTTAGGAAGCAGGATCTGCTCGTAAGGCACCTTGCGTCCGATAACGGAAGATACAGACATAGCACCGAATGTGTTTCCATGGTATCCTTGCTTCCTTGCAACAAAGATCCTCCGCTGTGTTTCGTTCTTTTCGAACCAGTACTGACGAGCACACTTCATTGCAGCGTCGTTCGCCTCGCTGCCACTGCCAACAAAGAAGGCTTTGGTCAGATCATGCCTGTAAGGGCTGCATTCGGCTGCGCCTTGGTGCTCGAGGATGCACTTGGCCAGATCTTCGGCAGAGTCTGTAGTGTATGCACCCGTGTGCACGTAGCTGACAAGACTCATCTGTCTTACAGTAGCTGCAATAACTTCCTTGTTTCCATGGCCTATTATGGCTACAGCAGCGCCACCACAAGCATCGAGAATAGATTTTCCGTCCTCTAGGAAAAGGTAATGGCCTGAAGCTGAAACAACTCTATGGGGCTGGTACGCTAAAGAACGGTGCAGGAGCGATGGCTCCGGGGATGATCCGGACATTGGGTATAGGTTCCGAGAGCAGGTTCCGAGGTCGCGGGATTGTCGCAATTCTGCAATGCAGCTTCGAGTGGAAACAGTCCGATTTTCAGCTGATCACAACACGGCGTTCCACTCGGTCTGGCGCGTTTGCCATACTACATGCCGTCGCGGGTTTGGCGAGTTTCGGGTCTGACTTCTCCTCTTTCGGCTAAAGTCCATCAAACGTAGTTGATAGTCTTTTCTTCGGGTTTGGCCGAGCGCAAACCCGAAACCCGAAAACTGCACGCAGGTCGCGCGATTCGCCCATGGCATGACGGTTTCTTCGACGGATGCGTGCGCATCTTTCTGCTAAGCTTATCTCCTAGTCGGATGGTGAGCTCCTCCATGCTACCAACGGGCTTGAACTCTGTCTTGATTATCGCTATGATCGGATGGGTCGAGACGGTGCCTGGTTCTCAATCGTACGCTGCGGCCGTATTCCCTGACCGGCAGATAATTCATTAGGATATCATCGCATGTGTATGCAGGCTTCATATCCACACGTTGTGCGATAATGAATGCGTGTCAGAGCATCCAGCCATGACATATCGTAAGCGTTGGCTGGTGGTCGAGTGGGGAACTGTGTGTGCGAACAGCGAGTCGTGGAAGAGTCTTGGCACGACGAAGGTGCAACACCACTGCAGCCCTCGCGTCCACCGCCACCTATGGCACCCTCCATTAGCATGCGCATCTTCTACAACAGTCGCTACGACCTCCGATGATACTTCGCGCGACGCTCGCTGATCTCACGCACATCACGACCCACAGCTTCTCGAGCAACGACCCGTTTGCGGCGCGTTCGGCGCCTCCCGCTCGTTAGCTTTACCGTGGCCTCCACCATCAAGAACACGAAGCAGCGTCACGAGACATCGTATTCGACATGCGCGGTCGCTACTCTGATTGGGTCTAATGTCAGACTGGGGCTTGTACGATAACATCTCATTACGGTGGGGCTTGGTTCGCGTGTAGCATTGATTCTCCGGTCGCATTCCTGGACAGGCAAAGAGGCCGAAGATTGATATTGGAAGTGGATCTTGTCCAAGATCCCCATGCTGGAGTTTCTATTCTCTCCGCACACACGAGGCACATTGGGCAACGTGACTCTGCTATACGAGGCGAGCATAACAACCGACATGTTCTCAAAGCTTCTACGGCACCCACGCGCCGCTACGGGCTTGGTGCTCGTACAGATATAATGGGCGTCATGGGCGCGATTGCTCATGCGCAATCTCACATTCGTTCACATCTCTGGCCATGGGCAAGTTCTCTTCTGCCATTGCGGCCCTTGTTATGGGTGCGCAGCTTGTCTCTCCAACATCGGTACATGCTCGTGTCCACCCGAGTGCGATCGTACAACGAACGGCGAACGACGCGCCAGCGATAAGCGGCGTTCTCCCTGGTGCCTACATCGTCGAATTTGCAAACGAAAATGAAACACCAGAGAGTTTCTACGCGTCCCTCGCAGCCAGCGGTGTCAATGTCGAACATCGCATGAATTTGAGCTTTCGATTCTTCAATGGCGTATCTTTCCAGCTCAAGGGCTCAAGCTCGAATTCGAGCGAGTGGGACTTCTTGCGTCAGATGGGGGCACAACCACAGGTGGAGAACATATGGCCGACCCGTATCACGACACGTTCGCGTGAGGACAACGTCGCGGCACCCGCTCAGCAGAAACACGTCAAGCGGCAAACTACATCTGAAGATACCTTTTCTCCTCATGTCATGACTCAGGTTGACAAGCTGCACAAAGAGGGCGTCACAGGCAAAGGATATCGTGTCGCTATTATTGATAGCGGAGTCGATTACACTCATCCAGCGCTTGGCGGCTGTTTTGGTCCAGGCTGTCTCGTTGAGATTGGGTATGACTTCACAGGCGACGACTACAACCCCGGCACATCTCCATTGAAACCCGATGACGATCCCATGGACAACTGCGCTGGACATGGTACACATGTCGCAGGTACTATCGCCGCTCAGCTCGAGGGCAACAAGTATGGCTTCACTGGATCTGCACCCGGGGCAAAGCTCGGCGCGTACCGAATGTGGGGTTGCGCATCAACATCTACCAATGAGATTGAGCTTATGGCATTTGCTCGTGCCGTCGAGGATGGGGCAGATATCATCTCCTACTCGAATGGCGACGCCTCAGGCTGGTCGCAGGACGTACGCGCTACCATCATCTCGCGCATCGTTGATTCTGGCATTCCAGTCGTCATTTCTGAGGGTAATGACGGTGGCCAGGGTATGTTCTACGCTTCCACGCCAGCAACGGGAAGCAGTATTACGGGCACAGGAGCGGTTTCTAATACACAATATCCTACCTTCCTTGCACAAGGTTCCTACACAACCGATTCCAACGCTACTACTAACAGCACCGCCAACTTTGGTTTCTTGATGGGCGTTCCCGAGTTCGCCAACGACACAACACTTCCACTATGGTCTGCTGCCGATGTAGAAGATGCTTGCAAACCGCTACCTGACGACACGCCAGATTTGAGCCAGCGCATCGTACTTTTGGAGTTCAAGGATTCACGAGCAACTCAATGCTACCCGCAAGACCAGGGCGCCAACCTCGCCGCAAAGGGTGCGCGATTCATGGTATATTACGAGCGCAGCAATCTGACTATGCGTGACGAACCTTATGTATACGCCGATGGTATTCAGGGTGTCGTTAAGGCTGTGCCATATGTTGCTGAGCGTTGGATCTCTCTACTTTCACAAGGCGCCACAGTCTCTGTGACCATCCCAGCCAATGGAACCCAGACCTACCTTGAGGTGCTCGAGAACAACGAGCGAGGTGGCTATGTCGCAGGTGAACTGACCAGCTGGGGCCCAAGCTGGGAGCTTGGTATGTCACCCCAACTCGTATCACCTGGAGAGAACATCCTGAGCACGTATCCAACGGCTTTAGGTAGCTACCGCGTCATGACTGGCACGAGCATGTCAACGCCATTGGTCGCGGGTGTTTACGCATTACTCGGCGAAGTTTACGGCAAGCTGGAACCAAAGCGTCTCCGCAGAATTCTCACACATACTTCCAAGCCACTGGCCTGGCACGACGGAAAGACTGCTCATCCCGACATCCTCGCCCCAGTCGCACAACAAGGATCTGGACTTGTGCAAGCTTGGAATGCTGCTCATACTACCCTCGAGATCAATGTCGATAGTCTGATGCTGAACGACACGGACCACTTCGTTGGCATTCATACCTTCACCATCACCAACACTGGCTCCGCAGAAGAGGCTCTTGGTTTGGAACACCGAAAAGCCGTCACAATGTACACTATGGATCCAAAAGCCGATGTCTTGCGTGTTGGTTCATTCCCCAACGCTATCGCAGAGTCATGGGCGACCGTATCCTTCTCTTCCGATAGCATCACCATTCCTGCCGGCCAGTCTGCCAACATCACCGTTGAGTTCACAGCACCTGCAGGACTCAACGCAACTCTATTGCCCGTGTACAGTGGCTTCATCGCCCTGGGCGACAAGCTCGTGCTCCCTTACCTCGGTGTTGGGGGTAGTATGCACGCCATTCCCGTTCTCACATCGGAGACTGTATACCTCGCCCAAGGATACACGCCCACTCCCGCCAACGCGTCTTACGTCATTCCACGACCGGATCCTCAGAACCCACCTATGACTGATCGCGGTGATATGTTCGCAACCCCGAACGTGTACATCAATCCTACAGTTGGGTCACCTTTGCTGCGTGTGGAGATCTTCCAGGGCGACAAGAACCTGGGTGCATTGGCTGGATTTCCGCAAACGTACATCGCAAGGAGTGAAGTTCGCGCATATTTCAATGGGCTAATGGCGAGTGGGGAGGTGCTTGATGAGGGCTCGTATCGTATGAAAGTGAGCGCGCTCCGCATCTTCGGTGACGAAGAGAAAGTCGACGATTGGGATGTAGTAGAGTCTACTAGCTTCGCAGTGCAGTACGCGTCGTAGTAGAGTTGGTGTGTGATGTGGGGGCTGAAGGATTGCGATCCTTGCACATTCGCTCCCTGCAAGGCTGTCTCGGTCGCAGCCGCCTGGACCGGCGTGGCCATCGCATGAAGTCTACTCGCTTGTACCTGTATTCGATCTAATCTAAGTTGCTTATTGGTGGGCACCTGCAGTCGCCAAGGTTGTTGCAGCACGACATAGGTAAACCTTGCGAGCCGGGTAATCGTCAATTACTGAAACTTCGAAAACTGCACGCCTTACCATCCGCGGCACAGACGCCTCAGGCTCTCAGCCTCACCATCCACGACGACTGAACTTGCGCTACCCGTATTGGTAATGACTACGATGTCTCTTCATCAACATATCGCGGATATAAGTATGTCTCTTTATGTAGATTAATCGCATTCAGCATCGGATCATCATCTACATACTACACCCATACGTTCACGTTGCTTTCTGTGCTGCTCATGCGATGAGATTCTCACTTCTATTCCTCAACACCTTGCTGCTGGTCCTTCAATCTGCCGCATCACCGGCATTCATCCCCTCTGGAGTGATATCTGCTCAAAGCACAATCACCTCGCCTCCTTCCATTGTAATACCGCCTTCTCGCCGCGATGATAACTTCGCGCCAAGTATACCTCCGCTCTCACTAGACCTACCATCAATCGCTGCGCCGTCAATACCACAAGTCTCCCTCGACCTCCCGACCCAGACATGCACGCCTGGCTTCAGTTCATACGCAACTCCAGGCATTGATGGCTACGTCCCTGCGGATGCATGCAATGCGCTATGGGTGTACTTCCCGAACTTCGCTGCAGCAGTAGCTTTTTCCATTTTGTTTGGCATCCTCACAATCGTACACCTGACTCAAGCAGTCGTGTATCGTAACGGCTTTTGCTGGGTCGTCATAATGGCCTCCCTTTGGGAGATGGGAGCATATGCTTTCCGCGCTCTTGGATCCAAGAACCAGCAATCCTCTGGCATTGCGACTGTTGCTCAGATCTTAGTGCTGGTGGCTCCTATCTGGGTCAATGCCTTTGCATACATGGTCTTTGCTCGAATGGTCCACTTCTATTCGCCCACTCGCAAAGTCTGGTTTCTCTCGCCTTCTATCCTCGCTCTGGTCTTCGTCACCCTAGATATCGTTTCTTTCGTCGTTCAACTCATCGGCGGTGGAATGGCTGGCCCTGGTGCAAGCGCAGATGCACAAAAGAAGGGTCTGAACATATACATGGGCGGAATTGGTATGCAAGAGGGCTTCATTGTTCTGTTCTTGGGCCTAGTCATCAAATTCCATCGCGACCAGCTACGGGCAGAAAGAGTAGGACGACTGACTGCGGACAAGATGGGTAGCTGGAGATGGTTAATCGGGGCGCTCTACGGATGTTTGCTGGCGATCACAGTTCGCATCGTCTACCGCCTCGCTGAGTTCTCCGGTGGTCTCGACCACAGTAATCCTCTTCCAAGTAACGAGCCACTCCTGTACGTCCTGGAGTCGACACCAATGTGGTTGGCCATCTTGGTTTGGAACGTTGTCCATCCAGGTCGCTTCATTCGTGGCGATGGCGCGAAGATGCCGCGTTCATGGCTTTCTCGCCATCTGTGCTGCTGCTGTCGCAAACGTCGCTGCGACGAATGCCATAGCAAACTCGGCCACGGCGGGCTTCACCACCATGTGGCAGATGATGCAGAACTAGAGAACAACAGGGAGATGTTTCCTATCCAGATGACCCCCGCGGATCGCGTCGTTGCTACTCCAGTCGATCCTTTCCTGGACGCATCATCTCGTGCCTCGTCTCCGTACGGATTGGACAGAGAGCGGGAACGATTTCGGTGAGAACAAGTCCAGTATTTAAATTTTGAAGTACCAGGCAAGGAATAAGGTTTACGTGGCATTGGGGGGACAGCTTGTGCAGAATAACTGAGCATCTTGTTATCACTCCGCACTCCGCAAAAGGTGACGCAGTAGGCCGATCCTTCCGCGGTCCGATAGTCTGACTCTCTAGTGCTGCACCAACTTTGAGAGAAAAGAGGATTAGTGAACTTTGATCTTCAAACACTTTATTTCTCTACATTCTACGTAAGACTTTGATAATTGATTAGCTTTGTGTTCATTCAATCCACAATATTAAACTGTCTCTGTTCCTCAGTCTCGAGTCATTAGCAGCTTTGCGCATTTCTATCTTTTGTTCTGTGTCGCCTGCTCTATTATCAAGAATAACTCATGTAATAGATTTGTAACGAATGAACACTAATCTACATTGTTTCAAGTATAGCATCCCACTTCAGCTTACTGTACTAGACAATTATATAGCTTAGACGACTACCGTTTCGGCGATTCTCGAGTAGTCAAGGAAGTAAGCTGGCTCCATCGCTTCTTGGCGCTGTAAGGCGCTAGACGTCACAACGCACAGGTAGTAATTTTATCTTCACGGCGTAGCTTCACTATCTAGTCTTGTCTATGCTACAAACAACTTCATATAGTTACTCTCAGCATTACAGCCATGCTGTGCTGTTAAATAGCCCGCTACAACATCGAAGGCATTCCGGGATGAAGAATGACAAATATCGTCTTACATCGCACGGGCACTCTTGTCCGCTTACACCCCAGAACTTTTCAGGGTAAACCTTGGAAGATACTTCATATGTTCCGGTTGCTTGCGGCTCACGTTTCTCTAGGCAGATATCATGTTTAATTCTACAGATTATAAAGTCTTGTGTCGCGACTGCAATACAGTCTATCCACTCAAGCAGATATCTCCTACACGCGACTTTTCCAACTTTCAGCACGTAGCACTACTCTTCTCTCAAGAACATTGTTCCACGACAATGAAGTTTGCTCTCATTGCTCCCGCTCTCCTCAGTCTCGCTGTCGCAGGACCCCTACCATCATCCGAAGGTGTGCACGTCTTGACAAAGCGTCAAACGCGCCCTATCGGCTCCTGCGAACCCGGTCCGAACTTTTGCGGCTTTTCACTCGAAGAATGCAATACTCAGCTCGCGGCTCTTCGTGCCCCCTGTACAAACAGGTGCATTCCGCAAGGTCTTCCCGTGCGTGTGGAATGCCTTGCTCCTCGCAACCTCGGTTGCTTCTGTTAAGGGGATGGAGTTGGAGAAACTGGGGGATAGATCGAGTGTAGAAGGACTAGAGCAGCACTTTAGAATACAAACAAGAAAGGGAGATGGTTTTCGTCCATGCGGAAAGGAACGACCTGTCCTCCAGTTTCTGGAAGGTGTTGTCACAAATACACAAGAGGACTTAGATGACAAATGATCAAATTAGCCATCCCAATACACACTGTCGCTTCGGAGCTAGAACCTTACAACACTCTCAAAATCTCCCTTCTCAATTGGAATGCAGGTGAAGAAGATGAAGAAGATTGTAGTGAGGTGGGCGAGGTAGATATACTGTTTTGGCAATAAAGCCTTGGACAGTCTCGCAACAGTACTGCCAGAGTTCGCATCCTTCAAGATCAAAGCGTTGCCCCCTTCCTATTCGTCTACTCTTCTGGAGGCGGAATCTCAATCGAGTCTTCAGGGATGTTGTCAACGTCAATGCCAGGATACACGACACCACGGAATTTGGCCATCTGCTCTCGCATCCTCTGGATTTGTCCGGGCGTGAATTCGTACCGGCAATAGTCGGCCGAGTACGACATGTAGTTATCTGATGTAAGATTAGCAGTGATAGCCAGTGCTGTTGTTGTTGCAGGTTGCTGATCGACTACCTACGTATGGAATCTAAACCAGGCTGGTCAGGGCAGGAGTCGCTATTTTCGGGAGTCAGTCAGTTGGCATTGTACAAAGCCCAAGTGATGTGAGCTGCCTTACCGTCCGATGTCGCATTCACCCGAGACCTCGGGTGCTTGCTGGTTTGGCGTGTCTGCGACCTAAATATTCAATAAAAAGGTGGTTTGAATGTGAGATGATGATGGGACCTACGTAGTCGTAGCTCACAGCGCAGCCAAAGTTGAAGACATGGTAGAGACCACACCACTAGTAATCGTTATATGAGCATTTCACGCGGGAGTTTCGTGAGAGTCGAGGTGGATACTGCACTTACATGACCAACTTCGTGAACAAGCGTAATTCCCTCATTGAGAGGGCGACTGCCCCCTAGAAATGCTGTGTTGTTCTGGAAGACGCCATCGTAAGATGCCTGCGAGGCAGGGAGCGTTGCCCAGGCAGTCTCTGTCGTGTTGACGACACTGTTATGTCGATGTCAGCTCTCTTCGTAGAGCATATGAGTAGGTTCACTTACCCCATACTGTATATGTTTAGTGTAGCGAGATCGCCCTGCCGCAGAGCTGCCGAGACTTCTCGTTCAGACGGACGTGCTTCTAAGAGATTGTTGTACCTGGAGAATATCAGGTTTTGCACCTTTTCATCATGTCTCCGCTGGCTTACCAATACTCGTTGATCGTGCGCGTCGTGTTTACAAGATTGAACTGGAATCCAACAGGTTCGAAAGCATTGTTCAGGACCTCCATCTGCGCACTGAGCGCCGCGTCGCTCGAAAGGAAGTTAACAAAAACTCTCCGGCGTCCACGATATCGAAGCATACCTAATATATCCCTCTCCTTCGATGTCGCCAGGAGTTATGACGTGCATGTAAACCTGCGACCTCGTTAGCATCGCGCGCTCCCCATACTTGAATTCCGGGAACAAGCGCACGTCAATAGGCAATAGCACAGTCGCATTGTCAGCCCGTCTTGAATGGGATTTTGCGTGCAGATTGCGACGCTCAGCGTTTGGAGAGACCAAAGCATCCTCAGTGCCACCTACCGAGGCTCTAGGACGAGTGTCAGCCAACAAATCAATCTTAGAGATTATTTTTCAACCGCTTACAGGACACCTCCGGTGGTCGCGAGGAAACAGGCTAAGACTTGTACAGCAACCATGTTTGCGCGACAGAAGTTTATTGCGATGGCTCGATATAACAGCAAGACGAACGATACTTATACGACGATTGGAACAAGACGGACGTACATTGTATAGACACTCCGAAGCGCCTTGGCAGGTGGGGAACAGTAGCCTTGTTAGTTAGGTCGTAGCTATAATTACGTCCTGTCGCGTGGAATTAATGCCGGCAGCGTCGGCAGCTTGGCAGGGAAGACAAGGCAATAACTAATCAGCCCGTTGGGCTATGTAGCGTGCACGGGCCAGTACCTGATTGTCTTGCAGTTTTACGCACTGCCTTCCTACTAGCTTCCTACTTTACATTGTAGATAAACCATTGATTTAGATTACGGTTTGGAGGCGGTGGAAGGAGAAGAACTACGGCTGGGGCTACAGAAGTATCGACCAAGACGTTCGGTGCCTGGTCTGACCTTGCTTCTTCAGTCATCTGTTGGACTAATCGATTGGGCTGTGCGCCACGTCTGTTAGCGAGAAGATGCGCAGTTGAGAGTCAGAGACCTGAGATGGAGAAGGTAAAGCTTCGTTAAGGTTGACTATGATCTTCTTAGGAAGAACGGTGACCAAGGCGGGGAATCACCTCTAGTCTTGCTAACAGAGCGGTATGATGGGGGATACGGAGATGCAGAGCGCAAGCTTCAATAATGCCTTTGAGATAAATCTCTAGTTGCGTCCAACAAGGCTTTGAGTCTAGCTGTGTCTTCGACAGGCAGTATATAGGCGTTGGGTCGGTGCATAGTGACGTAAGGGCGAGGGAAAAGCGTAGGAAGCTGTCTCCTATCCGCGACCGTCGTCTCTTGACACCAGCAACATGTATATAACCATGGCGGTGAGCACACGTAAGGGCCAACATCAGAATTAAATCCTCGCGTGGTATCCCAGCGTTGCGGTCATCATCCTCGTCACTTTCAAATGGTAACGATGGTGGACATATCAGGCATGTGTCTTTCGGTATTATCTCACGTTTCTTCCTATGATTCATGCTACTTCACGGCAATACCGAGTCGTAGCTTGTGATGTATCGTCAGAAATTTCTTCAGCCACAAAGATGCAGCTGGTCAGTCCAACCACTCCTCTTGGCCGCTATGGAAGGCACACTGCTCAGGTCAAGAGCTACGATAAGCAAGAAGAACAGTGTGCTTTCTTCACGAGAATGAGTTCCCCAATAAGCCTGCCCGCGCTACACCTGCAGCCGATGAAGCCGACCCTAAGCATACTCATCCTCATGGAAGAGGTCCATACGCCTTGCTATGTATAACTCGCAGTCGTCGGTGGTCCCGTCGTCCGGGTGCTCGAGCTGGTACTTGATGTAGAGACTAAGGCTTGCTTTGACTTTGCCGTAGGTCATGCGGGTTCGATGGGTTCGTAGGTGCTTGCCGTATCCGAGGACCATACCAGCGGTCAAGTATCCGCTTCCACCCAAGTTTGGGAACATCTTCTGTGATTGGTTAGTTACAGATTCACTGTGTAATACTGCCGAGACGTACAATCAGCCACTGTTGGGCGTTGATCGCCGATCCTTGGTCGAACTCCACGTCAAGATCCATGAGGCGGTATATGGCAATCAGTTGTGCAACCTCTGCGCCTTTAAAGTCATTAGATGCGTCTCCGATAGCGCGCTCGATTGCGTCGATGATCCACTACTCGCCAGTGCTGGCCAATTCATTGATCATAATCTAGATGTCGACGAGTTTCGCAAGCTGGGGATCGTGCTGCGCGTTGGTACTCGTATTTGGCGTCATCTTGAGGGCCGTGGAGTGTTTTGTAGGTGGAAGAGGGCAGTGAGCTGGTCAGTGTTGATATACACAGATGCGCCTTAGCGCGCCCGCTGACCGCGACCGACGACGCCGCCTTCACTTAGTCTCCTCACTTCTTCTTCCACCGAAAACTTTCCGATCACAAGCAACACGACAACCGCTAACAACATGCCGCCAAAGGCGAACGAAACGACCGCGAGAGCGCCGGAGCCACTCGTCGACCCTATGACAGCTGAAATTCTCGCCGCAAGCAACGAAGCCAGGACCGCTACCAAAACACTGAAGGAGATGAACCAGAGCGATCCGAGATTCCAGGAACAAAAGGCAAAGGTGGCAGCGGCAATGCAAGCCTTCATAGATCTCGCCACATTTCTCACGACCTTCCAAGCTCTCAAGCGGCCAAGGCGCTCACCGCAGAGCCATGAGGTACAAATGGCACTACTGCCACTGCTAGATCTCCTACAACAATATCGCAACGCCGAGATCGACCTTCTGAAATCACAGTGTATTGATCTGATGCAGAAGGCTGCTAAATCTCTTGTGGAGGCCGGTACCAAGGGCGCTGGTTTCCAGATGGGGAAGTCATGGCTTGCATCCACCAAGGATGACGGAGAAGGCCAAGAGCAGGGTAATCACCACCGTCTTCGCTGCCCCAAAGCCGTATGATAATGTCAGTTTCTAGGCATCCGGGATCGTATCGAGTCTTGCGCCAACGACGATGAGCCAAATAAGGACGCTTTCGCACCGTACGTCGACGAGGAGAAGATCTACAGGGGTGAACGCTCTGACGGAACTACCTTCCACATGAATCATGGCACCTGCAAAGTGGTCACCGATGAGAACGGCAGTTCTATGAGAGCGCAGTACGACAAGAAGACAAGCGGTAGCGAAGGGATGATGAATGTCGAGGAGCACGGCGAGGCCCACGGCCACAGCGACCTCGAAGATGCACACGACTACGGCAATGGTGATGGCGACGGCAAGGCGCGCAGCCAACGACCAGTTCCATCCGCTCATCCCGATAGCGATACCGGTTCACTGTAAGCCCAAGGAGGACAGGGACAGCAAAAAGGTGCTCTCTGCACCTTAGGTTAGCCCGGACTTGAGGGTGGGAGGTTTGTGGCGCGAAAAGGCGAATGCTATGAGTGTAAGGCACAAGAGGATGCAAGACTTGGAAACAGACGTTGTGCCGGTTGTCGCTTCCGGATCGACCCGGGCAATCTTGATGATTTGTACCCAGCGTTTTGCAAAGCATGTGCTGTCGATGTATTCTACCGTTGACCTCAATCTTTTCCGTTCTAGCGACTGCGAATGTGGCGCGAAGAATATCGGACAAGGGCAGGTTCAGTGAGGTGGGTTCAGCGAGGTAGATCTAGTCACGGAACAAAAGTTCGTCCGCGAGTGCCGATATCGATTGCTACAATCAATACACAGTGAATCATACTCTTCTTGAAACTTGAATAGATGTGATGATGCCAGTAATGGACTTGAAAGCACGCCGAACTTGCTGAATACTGAAAGACTAGAAACCAACGCATAAGGCCCATACCATCAGGTTTCCAGTCACCTGCTAGTCTGAAGTAAATCCACTTTTGTTCCGACGCCCAGACCTTCAAAGAAATCAAGACGAAAAACACTTTTCGAGGAGCCTGCCCATGTGTCAGCAGCTCAATGCCATCTCGCAACTGTCAAGACCCCTACGACCACCACAAAACGTCCGCCCGTTCCCTTGTTCACCGTTAAGAACAGTCCCTACTCTGTCTCTTCCTTGCCGTCCTCTTCCATCCGCTTCTTTCTGTTAGGTCGCATTCCTTCAGTTGCAGAAGTCTCCAAGTCAAATCTCCGGCGCAATGCAATTGAGCCATCGGGATAGACATTCAGCCGGTCAGTTGCCTTGGCCTTCCACTCGACAGTTCCATTTTTGCCTTTGTGTGGTTCCTTCCAAATAGCTTTTTTGTAGGCGGGTGAATAAATCTTGTTGCCATCTTTGTAGACATAATCCGGTGTCATGGACGCGAGGAACTCCTCCCTGGTCTCATCTGGTGCGCGCTGCAGGCCAAAACTAGCCTCCTCGTCGTCATCCTCGCCCTGGACGTCACATTCGACAGTTGGGACATCTGCGTCATTGACTTCGGCGTCTGCGTTGAATTTCTGTATGGTCCAGTTAGTCATGTTCGTGTCTCCTTATGGGAAGACATACCTGCTCGGCGAGCAGAGCCTTGAATTGTTGCCTGTGGTATGCACCAGATTTTTTCCATGATTCATCTGATACGACTGCTTCTTCCACAAGCGCATAGTCCTTGACTGGGCCTCGAGATCTGATGACCTTGCCATCTCTACCAAGCTTTTCTTGTACGCCATCACCCATTTCTTTGGCATCGACCGACATGATGCTGCTTGCGTCACTGTCAGAGTCTTGGTCATACTCCGAGGGCACATAGTAATCATCGCCATCATCGTTGTCATGGTCTTCGCTCGTGGCTATCTTTGCTGGCCTCTTGGCTGAGATCTTCCTCTTCTTCTTCGCCGGCTTCCTCGTCGTGGACATGTTAGTCTCGGTAGGTCTGTTCTTGGGCGGTGCAGGCTTGATGTATACGTTAGTAATACACGGTGAATATGGATGATGATGGTATACTTTTGGTCTCCAGTCTGTGAACCGGCGTCCGATGCTGGGATTACCAGCCTTCGGTCTCTTCATACCTTCTAAGGTATGGATTGGCATTGTTGTTGGGTTGATCGTATGTTCGAAGATAATCTGCGCAGTATCAAGGTAGTGGCGTGCTGGAAGAGGAGTGTAAGAAGAGTTGTGAAGTTCGAAAGGCTGATAAAGGTCCACGGTACCAAAAGACCACCTGCGCGGCAAGTGAAGGTGGGAACCGAGAGGTTGCGCTTTCGGAGCTTAACGTTTGCACTGCAATTTGTCATTGCGTCAGCATGTGAAGGAGGTAGAAATGATGCACTGAATATACCACGCATTGATCCCTCGCATGACATAATTATCGGGAGCAGGGAAAACAGCCACGCGTTAGCATCCTCAAGCAAGCGCATAAACTGAAGAACCAGAAGGAAAACAGCGCTACTATGCCTTACGTTGAAGTCTACATTGACTTTTGAGAGGAACTCTAATAGCGACTAGAAGCATTGTAGGCTTCACGATTCTTAGTATCCATACTATGGCTCTCAACACACGTTGTCGTGGTAGGAAAAGGTTTGTCTTATCGGAAGCTTCATCAGGGTCGTACGGATGGGCCACGGCGAGGAAATAGTTGTCATAGACGATGATTCCCGCTCCGTAATGGGACTTTGCACCAAGGCCGAGGAAGATTCAGAAGTTTCTGTTCTCGCAACGTACAACGATCGACAGAACGTGGCGATGAAGAAGCGGTCAGTCGATCTAAAGCAGGCTACAGCACACTTCATCAGCGCAGTTCGCGATCTCAATGCCAACACGGGATCATCTGGTAAGGCTATGGATTTGCTACGTTGCGCAAACATAGACGAGAACGCCATCGACACAAGGGACTTTACCGAAGCCATGACGACTTAGCTGCTCGAGAGCGGCTTCCAGGAACTGAGAATACTGTCTATGATTGAACCCCTACGCCGAGAGAATGACGTGGATATGGAAGGCATGAGGGTCGTGGAAGGCATGGAGAACATGGAGGACATCGACTATGACACAGCCGAGTTCCACCAGCCAGACGCATCAAATTTGCTGTGTATAGAGGCACAAGACGACAAGACGAAGAAGAATAAGAAGACCAAGGATCCAGAGAAGTCGACCAAGCATCAGTTGTTCTTGGATCGGATTGGCAAGATGAAAGATATCGACGTCTTCACTCCTCGCTGCGAGGCGCTTATAGAACTCTACAAGGACATTCAGAAGAGATACCCTGGGGAGAAGATCATCATCTGGAGTCGTTTCTACAAAGGCCTAGTCATCATCGCTGAAGCCATGCGCCGCGGCTATGAGATCAATGTTCCGATCTTCTCAGGGTTGCTCGACACGGAGCAGCCAGACAACATGCTGTACACATGGTAGGGTCCATACATGTCTACGAAGGTTCCTATGAGATTTTAAGCGAAGGCTAGCGTCACTAGACTCATAGTCGATACATCCTTACATGTCATCTTCTCTAAGCCTTGGTGGAATAGTCTGGATGGTATGCAAGCAGAGCGAAGGGCGTTCCCAATAGGCCATGATAAGATCGTGCACTTCTGGCATTTGACCTGCATCAACATTTTCAGCCTGAAGCTGATCACGGTTCTTCCCGTCGTCTCCCGACAACTCAAAAATGCCTGGATGCTGCCTTATACACAACTTTTTCCCTTTCCTGTTGAAGTAGCCGGTATGTATTTAGAGCCTTCTTTGTCATCTCTTGATAGCTTAAAGGTCTTCGGGTAATTCCAGTTCGCATTTTCGGATTGAGATGTCCAAAGGTCCCATACTAACGTCGTCGCCCGTGCCCATCGAAACTACTGCCCTAATCGGTGTCTTCCTGTCTCAAACCACCAAATTTCAGTATCACGTGCACGACTAGCTCCTTGCTTTCTAAAAATCATGTCTCGTGCCTGGAGCGTATTTGGTAACAAAACCTCTGGATAGGCTGCTCTTTGTCGTTGAATGCCTAGCCCGAGCAAATACGTAGGCTAGCGTCAGTAGTTGTATTATATAATAAGTCGATGATTTCGCACTGCTTGTAGTATCAGAGATGGACATGACTTTGATATACAAACTTGAGCTTCAGCAGTAACTAGGCCTAAGAAAGTCCAGACTCTCGAAATCAAATGCCCACTCAATATCGGTGTCCGTGCTTGACATGTGTGCGCCTCCAGCATCTTGTCCCCGCGGTTCTATGTGTTTTCGAATCAGTCATTACATTCCCATATCTCACGATTGGAGTTGTGGTAGAAGGCAAGCGAACATACCTTCCGAGACTCTAATCATAACTTCAGATCGAAGCTTCTCTCGACAGCTCTCCAACAACTTCACAGCCTGTGAGCAAGCCTGTAGTTGCACTTCATTGTGTCTCAAAGTCTGTAGAGCTTTATGCCAGGAATTCAGATATGGTTCGCAAGACAGATCGATGCCTCCGTTGGCTTTAGGAAGAAAAGCGGCCGCAAGAAGAACGCTAGCAGCGGTGTAGAGAACTGTGTAAATTAGTTTATCACTTGAGAATACATGTCAGAGACTTTCTTACAACATACTGCGTGCCAACTCGAATGATTTGCACGACATGTCTCGGCCTTATAAAGTACGTCGATAGTCTGCTGCGCGGTCAAGATACAGAGACTACGGATCTCTCGAAGAGTGCTAGCACCAAGTGACATAGGGAAGTCAGAACTAGTTCCTTCAAGCAACCATGGTCGAAGGATAAGGAGGCGAACGTAGTGTATCCTTAACACTGGTCAGCTAAACTTTTCTCGTCGATCTTGGCGTTGCACGTACCTGCAATGCAGCACCTGGGCCTGCACATAGAAGGCGTTCCTTGAATGGGCTAATGAATTCTCATGAGTCTCTGATAGCCTCAAGCGATCTGGCATGCTGTTCACTAGATCCTCAAGCCGTGAATCAAGGGACAGAGTGTCGACAAGTCTAGACATAGATTTTCTAGCTTGGTGCCTATGACCATCAGCGTGCTCTTCTTCATCTTCTTCTTGTGGGTTGTGAGACATGGCTAGAACATCATCAAGAATCTCGAATAGGCCAAGAGAGTACACAAATCCTTCGACATAAGAAGGAAGACCTAGCGGCTGGGAGCCTTCGCCTGCATATTGGAGAAACTCGTCATCAATCGCCTTGGGAGGCATTGTCTTCCATGGTCTTGGCAAAGTCGTAGGCCTTCCGAAGGTCGCAGCTGACATCCTTCATTTCTCGTTTAGTAGGTGTCGATATGAATGACTTTAGAGCTGAACGACTTACTTGTCCAGAATGACGCAACAGAACCAGATCCTGCGCCTCATTTCGCGTTTCAGTTGAGATTCCTTACCGTGAAAAGAGGCGCTCTCTCGAAACAAGCCCAGCCCTATGGCTATACGAGTTCCAGTACCAATCATGTCCCAACAGCGATTGGCATATGCAGTAGAATGCAGATAAATACTCGTGAGTAGAAATAGTTGAACATGCGACTGTGTAGGATTATCGATGGCGTTCGAAGATACGAGATCAAGTGACATCTTGTAGAATGCGTCTGCTCTTGTAACACGATGGTCGAAAGCGAGTTGTTTGTCGTATTGAATGCCGAGGGCAAACACAATGTACAAAATGGCCTGAAAAGTGTTGCTTTCCTCGCTGTTCTTGCGAGTTCCAGCTCTGTGTGGCTCGCAAAGATGTTCGTATGCTTGCAGAATAGTCGGCCGATGCAAGAGGGGAAATATGGGGTGAATGTTGTTCCAGAAGCTTTCCATGAGATCAATATCAACGTCTGGTTCTGGAACAAAGCTATTCACTGTTGGTGCATCGCACAATCGCGAAGAGTGATCGGCGTTTCCGCTGTATGGCGACGATATGGTCTCTGGCCGTACTGGTCGTTCGAGTCTATGTGCAGTAGAGCTGACTTGGCTTAGGAAGGAATCTGTTGAAGAATCCGCATGGGTTGTCTGTCTAATGAAGCCTTCTTCTGGAGATCCATCTATCGCTTCTGTTCGTATAGTGGGAAGCTGATATGAAGCATCCTGTCCTGTATCTTGAGCGCACAGCTGCGTTGCAGGGGTAAGACCGGCCCAACGATCGGTTCGAGAATTCAGTCGTTCCAGCAATCTCAAGCGACGCTCAGTATCGTAAGCTGACCTTGAAAGATCTTAGAGGTTGAAACTGGTAGAACCGCGCATATACGTGGAAGACCTACGATGAGGTTCGGATCGAAGCCTGTTCATATTGACATTGCAAGTGTCTTTCTTGACAGGACCTGCAGAGAGGACGGTCCCCACTACAACGGGTCTTGCGATCTCGACATTGATTACAGGCAAGTAATGTCTTGCGACGCTTGTGAGGCTGCATCGCTATGACAAATTGACACCAGTAACCTGGCAAGCTGAGTATCGAGGATATAGAAGAACAAGACTTGACCGTGCCGGAGACTTTGTGAGCTAGTATGCCAAGCCGCGGAGATCGGGATCGGGATCGGGACCGGAGCAAGGTATTATTGGTCATTCGGCAGTGCTGAGGAACCGCGACGTCACTTACTCCATCAAAGTACCCACGAAAGATTCTACTAAGCTGAGTTGCATCGCGGACATGGATGAATCGCGTTTGGGCCGCTATCGTACCTATCGCGGGCATGCCGGATAACCCGAACCGTAGTCAAACTCCCCGTACATAGCTATATATATATTCATACTTTGTCCACCTCGTTCCACCCACGCACTACAAGAAAAATCCAAAGCTTGCTCACCTTCAGCACAACTTTTTCCAATTCACGACTCACTTTCTGACAATGCCTTTCCTCAACCTTCCAAATGCAAAACTACATTACGATACCTTTGGCAACGGGCCATTGCTACTCTGCATTCCGGGTGCAGATGGCCGTGGAGCTGTTTTCCACGACGCAGCTAGACACCTCTCCCGCAGCTTCACGGTAGTTTGCTACGACCGCCGAGGTTATTCTCAGAGCCAGCACATTGGTGCACAAGACTTCAAGAATCGGCTCTCGACAGATGCGGATGATGCCAGCGCCTTGATCGCCCACCTTTCCACCGAAGCGGTTGCCGTCTTCGGCACGTCCTCCGGTGCCATCGTTGCCACACAGCTCCTGATTCAACACCCGAACCGAGTGCACACTCTTATTGCCCATGAGCCTCCAGCATTTGCGCTACTACCTGAGCAATCGCGTGCTCAAGCCGCTGGCCTCATCGAGTACATCTACAGTATTTACCGTGAGCAGGGCATACAGGCAGCAATGGAGGTCTTCTCTGGCGGCTTGTCTGCAGGCGAAGAAGGCGCAAAGATGAGATTTTGCATGGATCCTACGCGGGGAGATGAGATCCGTGCAAACTCCATGTACTGGTTTGAGTTTGAGTTGCGCCAATACACGTCTGCTTTGCTGGATCTGGAGGACATGAAGGCCAAGAAGACGAAATTTGTGCCGGCGGCCGGGACAACGTCTGGAGATGGGCCTGGCGTTGGGCCGATCACGCTGCTTGCTCAAATGCTTGGCAAGGAGGTAGTGCGGCTTCCTGGAGGTCATATCTCATACATGCTTGAGCCTGAGGCCTTTGCTGATGCCTTAGTAGCTTTGTTAGAGAGTAAGATTCAGGAATAGGACATGTTCGCTACCTAAATATAGCCTCTCGATTGTATTTGTGACCCTATACAAGAGCCTGCCTGGCATCCGGGGCAGATTCGCACCTAGGCGTGTACGTACATAGTCAAATTTGTGATCACGTACGCATAGATACAGATGTGTGCTATATCTTATTGGTTAAGCTAATTACTACTATTAAACCTCATGCTACACTAGAGAGCTAATTTGATCGCGCATAGAGTGTGTTGCTATAATCTGTAGCCTCTACAACTTACAAAGGATATTCTCAAACTCTCTGGGGTCTACTACTCACTTACCTTCTAGCAACTGCCTTAATATAAACCCTGAAGTCCTAGACAGTCTAGGCAAAGATCCAGATGTTATAAGTTTGCCGTGTCGCCTGCTGTTTCCGGATGACCAACCTTACAAAGTGCGATCTAACAAGCGTAGCGAGTGCATTGCTTCGGCGTGTTGCAATGATATGCCAGAGGGTCTACTCATTGGACTATCCTGAAATACTCTATAGCTAGGCTTCGCAATCTCTAGCCAGACAAATTCTCTACCCATGATCCTAGCCATGACCAAAGTCCACTCGGTTGAATGTTGGGTTGATCAAGCGGCAATTCTGACAATGCAGATTCCACGAACTCCCCATAGATCTCGATGCGTACCGAGTGGACATAGCATTGCCAACCTTGGTATCTTGCTTTTGCGAATACCTGAATAGTGTCACCTGGTGACAGGCTCTTGAGCCAACGCTCTCGTGTAGGATCGTTCACATCCCATATGTTTCTATGCCAGCGCCATTGTCCGCTGGCGTGAACATTATACTGGAGTGCAGGTCTGTGTTGCCCATGAAATGGACCCGGTGTCTTTCCTTCAGGAAGTCCGCATTGGACTTCCAGCCAAGAGTGTGAGTTGTACGTGCCACCGATAGTTTCGCTATTGTCACTCCATCCTATTGACTATGAGCGCTGTTGATCAACAAAATATTTTCAAACGACGTACCTTGATCGTGCGAAATCGTATGGAAAACAACTCCTTTTATCGCTGCAAGGTTTTTGGGAATGGCAAGCTCGAAGTAGGGGAGATCGAGGCTGTTCTCATCGACACAAACTTCACCAAAACGACTGCCTGAAACAACACTGAACTGTGACACGAAGAGCGGTGTCACTGGCTCAGAGAGTACCTCTGAGAGCTGACTGAAGAACCTCTCGTGTCTCCAACGCTGTATCCATTGCGAACTGAGATCCCAATAGAGGCCCGGTCGGGCACCACGGCCCAAGAGAGTTGATATATGCCCACTTTGCATGCGCTCTAACGCAAAGTCCAAAGGTCGTTTTGCACAGCTTTGAGCGAGATTTACGTCTGCATCGTGTACGCGGTCAAGAATGTATTGAAGCGAGAAGTCAGAACCCATTTGCACGATGGAGAAAACTCCAGTTTGCAGCTCCATGGGACCCTCGTCCGGTACCTCTTCAAAGAACAGCCTGGTAAGACTGGGACTGATACTGGCCCAGCCGACTGGTGTGAATCCAGTGTTGCATGTCGCAAACCTATCTGCGCCCATCTTCAAGAGCAGAATCACGTTTTCCTGGAACACTGGATCGGTTGCTGTGGCCCAAGTAGCTACATGTAAAGGTGTTGCGCCTGCCTGTGATACCGCATGGATGTTGGCGCCACGTCTTATAAGAATCCGAGGGGTCTTTGTACTACATCTCAAGGCATTGAATAGCGGTGTCTCGAGAACGTCATCAACAAGTTCCGTATTGGCACCATAATTTAACAAGCAATTAGTCATTTGCTCTGAACGACTGTGGGCCGAAGCGTAGTGAAGAGCAGTTTTTCCAGTCCCCCAGTTCTCCCGGTAGATTTGGGTATCCGGATCCGCGTGTCTTTCCAGCAAGAGCGATAGAACCTCATCATGACCATAGTAAGCAGCCATGTGCAGAGCGTATGCTTGATCGCCGTTAATGATAGCTCCCTGATCTAGGAGATATCTGACGGTTTCCAGCTGGCCACAAGTCGATGCAACATGGAGTGCTGTATCTCCTGATTCGTTTACTGATGACCATCCCACCTCTTGGTGGCAGAATTCCTCCTTGAGGAGCCATACAAGCCCAAACCCGGAAGCGACAAAAGAGGGTAACGCGATGGGAGTTGATACAAGTGTGATCCTGAGCTTTTGGATCTCTGAAAGGCCTAAATGTTCCAGATTCTCATCCAAGATACTCATCCACAACTCAAAGGTTTGAGATGGTTTACCTTTACTATGGATAACTTCTTTGACCTTGCTTCTGAGTGGCTCGGGTGGACCATCAGATCCAATGGCTTCGCAATGCTGAAGCCAGTACGCCAAGGCATATTCTCCGAATATTGTGATGTCCGATTGGTGGTCTCCGCTAAGCCTTTGCAAACGTTCTATACATGAATTCAAGACAAAGGCGTTAGCATCTCTTGTTTTGAAGCCTTCCTTTTCCTCAAAATATTCCCGGACGGACAAATGCGCGAACCTGAAGACATTGCTCTCTGTGTCTAACTCGACGAGATTTTGAAACATCTCCATGAGCGTATTCGCAGAAACAGGTCTCTTCCACTCCGAGCCCATCTGCAGTGCTTCTAAGAAGTCTTTTGTTTCCAAGTTACGTTTTGCAGCTAATATCAATCTAATTGCATTTTCGGCAAGTACTAGTTCCTTTTCAAGGAGCGTACTCTTCATGAGGTCACATATCCGATGATAAGATTCTTTTAAATCTTCGGGTATCGTAGCCAACTGGTGATGTACGGACTCTGAGTCTCGTGCTTGACAGATCCACGGTATCTGGAGACTAACCCATCGGAACCTGGTAGTGTGAGCTTAGTGTCCCTTGCCACAGCTTGATGTTAAGCTTGATGATACATACATTCCTTGAGCTTTGGCAACAAGCGTTCTCTCTATCGACTCAAGGATTGCTTGTTGTTGGTCCTCGGGGGTGTCGACAAGCAATTGGTACCCCCTTATACTCTTCTTAAGCTCCCGCTTCACAAATTCTCTGATATCTTCGCGATTTTTTTCCACACCGATGCAAACATTCCGGTAGCTGCTCAGTTTTAGAACGATATCTCTATCGTTGCGGCTTGAAACTAAGAGGCGAAGTACGGCGTGGCGGTTGTCGGTAGAATTGCTATCTCGAAGCCGTTCGCTGATATTATCAAAAACCTCGTATAACGTTGGTCTTTCGTCTCTGACCATCTCATCGAGTGCGTCGATCATGATTGTTGTGTTCCGCATCTTGAAAAGCTTGACGAGCAGTGTAATCACTTCCTCGTCTGTGAACATCTGGACTTCGTGCTGGGCTAGCGCGGCGTCTTTCTTCTTCTTTTCGTACAAGGTTCTCACGGGTTCTTTCAAACCACCGTTTTTGTCGAAAGCAAGCTGCCTTAGGAGTGAACAAAGTAACTCCCGTTGCTTGGAACGCTGGGGCTCAGCACTTGACCGCTGGCAGTAGAAGAATGCCAGCTGAGCTTTTGTATCCGTGAGGCGCTTTCGTTCACGCTGAATAGCGAGAGCCACCAGCGAAGTTTTCCCTGACCCAGGGATGCCATGGAGCCATAACATGTCAAGATGGGCGATGAAGACAGTGATCATGTGACTGATGTTGCATGACTAATTAGCTTTAGTACTTAGTCTTAGGTCTCACCTTGACAATACGACAACTCTTACACCCCTAAAGTTTTGACAGGTTATGAGCCTGGCGCTTTCGCGTATTGCTTACGGCTAATACAAAATCGGGAGTGAGGGTTCTCTTATGTTGGCTGCATGTTGTATGAACCTCGTGGTCCTGACAAGGCTACGTTGTACAATGGGCTTGAGGGGCGAGAAGCGCCTTAGCAATCGAGAGGGGGTTCAGGACGATTCTGGTAGTCCTGAACTTGTTACAGCACTAAGAGCAGTGCTCGCACTAGTTCCCTCGTGATGGGACTTTGCTGCCTTGACAAAGCTGCGTTGTAGAGAGTCTTGAGGGGCGAGAAGCGTCCTAGCAATTGAGGGGGGATCTAGGATAAGTGCTGGTAAGCCTAGACTCGTTGAAGCGCCTTGAAGTGCAGTTTCTAGCTCCCTCGCGATGGGACCTCGCAGCTCTGACTAAGCTGCGTTGTATAGCAAGCTCGAGAGGCGAGAAGAGCTAATCGAGAGGGGGCCCGGGAAGAGCCTGGTAGTCCTGAGCCCGTCACCTTAGCACTAAGGAGCAGTGCTTGCGCAACCAGTTCCCTCGCGATGGGACCTCGCAGCTCTGACTAAGCTGCGTTGTACAACGGGCTCGAGAGGCGAAGAAGCGCCTCAGCAATCGAGAGGGGGTTTAGAATGAGCCAAATGGAAGTCCCTGAACTCGTTAGAACGGTGCAAGAGTAGCTAATGAGGTATATGCGTCCTTCTGGACGATCCGAGGTCTAGAAGGGCTGAGACGGATGGTGTGCACTGAGTAGACAATACTTCTATCGCAGCACCTGTCAGCCATTAGCAATCGACACAAGCACGCAATATAGTTATTAGAGAAGCCTTTTTAGCTACTGTCCTAGAGATGTCCTTAACTCGACCTACTTGTCGCAATATTACCGCCGCTAAACAGCGTCGGCTTGAAGAAATGGAACGTAACCGCCGCATTAATCTAGACGGAAGCACCGGCGGGCGAGTGATGCACGAACGGCAAGAGGAGAGAGGGCAACTAGGACAGGAAGGTGGAGATAATAGATATGCGGCAATGCGTGACGAGATGGAGAGACTAAGAGCGGAGAACCGCAGACTTAGAGACTTGACAGGGGGGCTACAAGAGACAAGGGAAGGTCTAGCAGGCAGCACAGATAACAGCGATCTAGTGGAAGCCTTTCTGGACTTTAAGAAACATGCTAAGGTTAGCAGCGCTAGCAAAGCTGTTAACGAGCAAGGCTTTAAGAAGTTAGGAGAAGTTACTAACTACGAGGGGTAGAAGAAATTGTTTTAGACTGTAGGTAAAATACATAACCTCTAGGAGATGTACGAAGGCAGGTTTAATGCGCTTTTGACTACTACAATTTAGACAGTGTTAACGAAGTTTAAACAACTATGCTAAAATGCTATAGGCATCCTTTATACTGCCTGCGACAGGACGATTAGGTTATTACTCTAAAGCGAGAGCATTAAGCTGCCCTCCTAGGCGATGTTACTCTTAGGCGAGCGCAACCGCTAGCGGGGGAGCGCGATTGTCTAGTCGTTGTTTAAGGAGTTCTTAGGCACTACGCTCGCTAACACTAGGAGCGTTAGCGAGTTTCGCAATAAGCTGATAGAGATATAGGAGAAACTAGTCGCGGTTAATGCAGGCTACTGTCTGCTATTGTGGCTAGTTAACTCTTACTTCTTAACAGCCCTTACGAGTGCGTTTGACAATAAGGTTGCAGTCCTAAGCTCGGATAAGTCTATTGTCTCGGTTACTAATCTAAAGGACTTTTAGACCTTAGCGCGAGAGGTGATTTAAGAGGAACAACAACAGATAAACAATAACAACGGCATTACTCTAGCAGTAAACAGCTAGAAGAGGTGCACGCATTGCGGTAGAGTGGGCCACCTAGCCGTTGCAGGGCTAAAAGGATGCTACAGAATAAACTAGAACGCTAGATACAGGCCGAAATAGTATATTAAGCACCTTGAGAATTAAGGCAGAAAGAGATCTAGTACAGAAACAGTGCAACTAGAGAGTACTGCAAAGAAAAGAAGAATCAAAGAAAGTAACTTCGTGCAAAGATCTACCTCTGATTGACTATTAGTGCGCGGGGGGAGTCTCTGCTGGGGCATAGTCATCGCATACGTATTATGCCTGTCGCAGTAGACTGCTTTCGCCTGCGTAATAGTAGCGTTAGGAGCAAGATGGTAGATAGAAGTTGAGGCAGAGACATAGGCAGAGACCAACAGCCTATAGCTGCCACTAGCATTAAGCGTTATTAACGGACGACTAGCCCTAGATGATTGGGTCCTCGATAGTGGAAGCTACACGCACGTGACCGGAAGACGGTCGCTTTTTAAGACGCTGAGTCCAGCGCTACCCAGGAAGCAGGTGATGGGCGTTGGCGGAGGCGTAATAGTTGCTAGCATTAGGATAGTCAAGATCCCGATCGCCTGCGAGGTTAACAGCAAGGTCTATAACAAGACCTTTACTATCTAGAACGTCTTGTATGCGCTAGGTCTCCCTTTCAACATTATCTCTTGTCGAGCGTTGACGTTAACGAATAACGGAGAGAAGGCAGGCATACGCTTCGTGATGGATAGCCATGATCTTAAGATTGTACGGACAGAGACTAGCTAAGTGATAGCCACGGCTGACTGCCGCACCACCGATCTGTACGTACTGTTACGACTGAAAGCAGAAGTCACCTAAAAGCGACGACCGCAGCTATATGCCTTTACAGCAATACTCTTAGACGTGTCTATTGATACTTACTATCGTTGACTGGGGCATCTTGGAGAAGGGAGGTTAAGAAGGCTGCTGCGGCGTCTTAATGCATTAAGTGTAGAGGACCTACTACTACTATGCGAATCCTGCAATTGAACAGGTCTAAAGAGGAGAAACTTTAAGGACTCTAGGACAAGAAGCAAGAAGCCTTTACAGAGGGTCTTTGTTAACCTAGTAGGGCTAGTTAACGCGTACAATAGCAAGAAGAAAGTTAATAATTGCTTTGCTCTTACTATTATAGATGACTATACAAGATACAGATAGGTGAGAGTGTTGCGACATAAGAACGATGCAGCAAGAGAACTGCAGATCTAGAAGACCTAGGTTGAGAAAGAACTAAAACACGAACTGCTAGCCGTCTGAAGAGATAATGGCGGAGAGTTTGATAACAAGCTATTAAACGAGTTTTTTAGAGAGACAGGTGTTAGAGTTAAGCCTATAGCACTGTATAATCTAGAGCAGAATGGGGTTGCAGAAAGGGGCATGAATATTTTGTTTACTGCAGTGAGAGCGATACTAGACGAGTTAAATCTTAGTTAACATTGTTTTGCTGAGATCCTTAGTAGTGTTACTGATATAGTTAACTATTGTCTAACGTTGGCTAATCCTAACGATTAGCTACCCTACGAGAGACTATATGGAAGGCTACTGCTAATAGAGCACCTACGAGTGTTAGGCTGCGAGTGCTGGAAGCTTTGACCTTGTAGCGACTACTTAAATTTTAGGAAGCTTAATCCCTAGGCGGACAAGTGCTATCTTCTTGGTTGCGTTGCAAAACATTAGTATTAGGTATGGAACACCTGCACTGAGCGAGTTGAGTTAGTTTAAGATCTGCACTTTAATAAGGATATATTTAGTCTAGGGGGGGGG